CTACACCGTCTGAATCAGAGCTACCTTCCTGTAGGTGTCTCCTCGGCACCCAACCCCTAAAGGCCGTGGATCCCATATCCATCCGTCCATCTAAGTTGAGGACGTTCGCTGTTCATCTTAATTCTTTTTTGAGGATTTTTTTATTATTAAAAGTTTGCGGGGAGTTCATCCTGACTTGTTCACTCCACGAATTCTTAGTTTTTTTTTATTTAAAATTTTCTTATCTTATGTGGGCCAAGTTTGTGAATGGTTATTGCGATGGCAGTATCGTAGAATCAAACAAGCAGTACACGGAATTTTACAAGTATCCATAAAAATATAGTGGAGGAGGGAAAAATGGAAATGTTTTAATTTTCCATATGTACTTGACTTCTCCTATGAAATGCGCCTAACAGAAATGTGCAAATATATGCAAAGAATTATTGTAACAGAAATGGGCAAATATATGCAAAGAATTATTGTTGTTGTTGTGCAGTGAAGTTCATTTTTGCTCATAGGACATGAGAATATTGGATTGACAATTGACACGAACTAACCTTTTTTTTTTGGTCCCTGATTCAGAAACCGAGAGGATAAATGCTGTTGTGAGGAGGAACTTAGGAGGTTTGCCTGAAGTTTATCATAAGAAACTCAAGATTGCTGTGCCACTGAAACATGGCTTTAGAGCTTTTGTGAATGTAACTGACCAAGGTGTCACTGGCTACTGCATTGATCTCTTCGAGGCTGCCGTGAATAAGTTACCATACCGTCTGATTTATGAGTTTGTTGTCTTCGACCGTTCTTATGACGAGCTAGTACAGAGTGTATCTTCAGGGGTAAGCCTTACTCCCTCTGTTTTAATGACATTGTTATATAATCAAGTACTAATATTATATATCTTCTGGTTCTTGCTACCAGATCAACGATGCAGCAGTGGGGGATATAACCATAATTGCTGATCGAGCTAGCCATGTGGAGTTTACAATGCCGTACACCGAGTCTGGTGTTTCAATGCTTGTGCTTGCGGAGAATGAATCTGAATAAAAAATCGAATGGGTATTCTTGAAGCCACTGACAAAAGAACTTTGGTTTGCCACTGTGATCTTCTTTCTATTCACCGCCTTAGTAATTTGGATAATCGAACATCCCAGAAACATGGAGTACCAAGGATCGAACACAAGGCAGTTGAGCACTGCTCTCTATTTTGCTTTCTCCACTTTGACATTTTCTCATGGTTAGTGCTTAGAGGCTCAACTAGTAGGCTATATTTGATGCAGTATTAAGAGGTTTAACTATTTTCTCATAGTACTTCTTCAATAACCTACTATCTCTGTTATACTATGCACAGGTCAAATTATTAAAAGTCCTTTGTCAAAAATTGTTGTGGTAATCTGGTGCTTCGTGGTGCTGGTTCTTGTGCAGAGCTACACTGCTAGCTTTTCATCCATTCTAACTGTAAAGAGGTTCCAGCCCTCAGTGACAGATCTTGACCAGCTCCTAAAAAATGGTGATTATGTTGGATACCAAGAGGGATCCTTTGTGAACTCATTTTTGACAAGACGAGGTTTCGGTGAAAGAAGGCTAAGATCCTACACAAAGAAACAGGAATATGCTGAAGCTTTGAGGAAGGGGTCCAAGAATGGAGGTGTGTCTGCTATCGTTGATGAGATCCCATATTTAACCGCTATTGTCTCGGACCCTCATTACCAGAAAGAATTCCAGATGCTTAAGCGCATATATAAGACTCCCGGATTTGGTTTTGTAAGCCTCTTGCTCTATTGCTTCACTGAATTCACTCATCATCCTTTTAAGAGCTATGCTACATTCTGGACAAAATTTTCTGGCCTAACTGGCATGATCATGTTTTTTTTCTTTTTTGGTTCCCCTTCAGGTGTTTCCTCCTGGTTTTCCACTGGTGCATAATCTTTCAACTGCCATGTTGGATGTAACAAGTGGGGATGAGGGGTCACGTATGGAAACGAAATGGTTTGGTGCAGAGGCTGTCTCTCCAAGTAATGCAATTCCCAACACAGATTCAGCACCTCTCACTTTGCGGAGTTTCTCTGGTCTTTTTATCATCACTGGTGTATCTCAACTCTCATGCTGATGATTAGGTTCTCCATGTCAATTCTTGCCAATTACACCCAAATTAGAGATTCTGATGTGCAAAGTCCTGATGTGGGTGGTCGAAACAATGCACATGAAGAATCTAATCAAGCACAGAACAGCATGGGTTGCATTGTGGCTGATATACACCTCCATGAAGTTCAGAATTGACAGTTCCCAGGATATCCATGGGAGTGTCGAACGTGCTGATGGCGAAGAGCCTCGACCAATTCAGAATGGCCCTGTGCCTACAAATTCCACCCAGACAGTATGAATTACATGGTCATGCTGAGCGTGCTCTGGAAATATAAAAACAAGAATGCTCCATCTCTTCATTTATTGTAGGTATTAACCAATAATCTGCTGCAGAAATTAGTCTGGGATGTTCCCATTCAGCAACTAGCCATGCTTCACCGCAGGCCGTGTTGGATTAGATAGTTCTATGCATAGTTTAGTAACTGATCACGTCTTATGTTTTATCACTTGCAATTGATATTCTTTAACAAAAATGTAATTGTCACTTCTACTTTCCAAAGGCAATATATATACTCTTGTTTCCCCCCCCCCAAAAAATATATCTACTCTTGTATTATTATTTCTCTGCAGATAAAAAAAACTACTGATTTGCTTCCAGCCTACCAGATGAATGATACCTTGAAATTTTAACTGTAGGATTGATCAATACCCAGATTTTTCTTACTATATATATGTACCTGGGGGCATCACAAACTGGTCAGAAAGTCAGAATCAGAACTGCAAGAACAAGTCTATAGACCTGACCATGGAACTATAGACCAGAAGTCTAGAGATTCTGAGAAATTGCACACACATGTCCAGTGCCTGCGAAGTCATGCATTCAGTCAGTCACCTATGAAAACCAAGACTTGGTTATGAAGAAAAGTTTCAGGGAAGACAGACTGCTGAATTCTGATTACTTCTTGCTATTCTTTGACAGTTCGAATCTTGATCAATATTATAGACAGATAAAATCAAACTGGGGGAGAGAGATTGAATGACAGATCATGAGATGTGGAACCTGTCACGGTCAGATCAGATTGACCAATGAGATGTGGAACGTTTTTATTTTAGCTTCATAGTTGACATTACTGGATATATTTCGGAACTAGAATAAGAGTATATAAAACAGTTCTTCCAATTATTTGACATTTCCAAGAAACTTCTTTCTTTCGTTTTTATAGTACTAAATTGCTTGGAGTCTTGGATCAGATTGTTAGCTAGAGCAATAATCCATTTTCTTATTGGTTGTAAAAAAACCCAATACATTGGATCTATTATAAAAATCGTACGTGGTGAGAATATTCAAAACATTCCTCTTGCATATGGTGCAATTTCGGGGAAACTTTTTAGAATGGCGGGTTTGAAATACTATCATCAAGGGAGAAAATACTAACAGTTCGTCGGTAAATAAATGTTTGTGTCCGGTCATTAAATCCTATAGTTTAGTAATTTATTCTTGTACATTATGTCGTATGTTATTCTGAAAATGACAGCGATGCTGCAAGGCAATGACCACAGATCAGGACAAATATAATCATATTTATATATGAGGGATTTTGTAAGAATTCCACGCTAGCTAGTTCCCTCTGGCTTCTTTCTTGAAAATCTTCTTTCTTGAAAATAATTTGCCGTCCTTTCATGAACTCACGCAACATGCATGGTACTGTTCTTGGGTGTGGTTGAGCAAATTAAGTATAACCAGTGAGAATCTGTGCGTTGCTGCGAAACTTCTTTTTGGTAAAATAGAAAATATTAGTTTCAAAATATATTTATATATTACGTGTGGGATCGATATTTGCGATGATTTAAGTACATCTTGGAACTCTTTCTAAAAACTTTAAAAATTTAATAATTAATGGAGAGATGGAGTGGCATATTTTTAGGTGCTTGCTCCAGTTGAGTTAGGTTGTTAGAAAGGAAAGACATTTACCATTCATCATTCCCATGCTAATAAATTTGGATCTATTGTGAAAAATATATAAACTAAATTATAGTTAGCGCACTTAGTACTCTGAGAATTAACCCAAAAAAAATCATAGCCGTATGAAGAAAGATTACGATGGAAAAGGTAGTGCTATTTATGCATTAATATGCTTATATGCACTATGTTGCTAGAAGCGCGGGGGATAAAAGGATGACTAATTAATGATTGAATTAAATAGATAATAAGTAATTAGAGTGGCAAACAAAAAAATATTATACATATGATAGTATATATATAATATTCTAATTTTAAGCTAATAATGTGCTTAATATAGGTTAAAACAACAAAAGATTAAAAATTTTTGGGTCTCAGTGACCTCATCAGTCCTCAGGTAGCACAACATAGGAACACCGAACACGGACACCCCTAATTAAGTAACTTCTAGATCCAATGGCTGTTATTTTTTACTAACATGATCTTAAGGTCAAAAGTTGTTGATCATGTGGTTTTGTGTATGTCATGTTTTATAGGAGTTAATGTTCCATTAAACACCAAGAAATGGATTATTTAAAAAAATGTTCGACTAGGAACCTTAATTTAATTTCCTCTAGTTCCCAGCTGTCACACATGCAACGCAACACGTATATAATATCAGGTCCCCTAGTTGCTACGTTATATGCAAACATTATCATATCTTTTTTTCTAACAGATCGATAAGATCGTACGTATATAAATTCAATTTGACTTGATCAAAATACGAACTACTAACAAAATCTAGTGATATGTCTCCAGCGTAAAAAACAATTGTAAAACGCCATCACACATTCTTTCCCCATGTAAAAGAAAATGAACTGGTGAAACGTCATCCTATTCAGCTCGAAACCGAAAATTTCGACGAAATTTCTCCACTGCTGTAACAGCTATATATAGCTATGTGTATATATAATCACTGCATTTTCACGTACACACAGCAACTAATTTATCACTCGATCAAAGGTGTGCGAGAATTAATCTGCCGTCGCATTGCATGGGGATCAGGCAGCGTCGCCGTCTGCTCGCTGTTGCTGCTGCTTTCCTCTCGCTGCTCGCTCTCCGGAATGCGGCGGCGGCGGCGTCGCCGGCGCCGGTGAGGGTGGGCGTCGTGGTGGACATGACGAGCGGCGAGGGGAGGAGGAGCCTCGCCGGCATTTCCATGGCGGTGGAGGACTTCCACCGGCGGCGACATCGTCCGGGCTCCGCCGCGGTGGTGGAGCTGCGGGTGAGGGACTCGCGTGGAGACGATGGTGCTGCAGCTGCACGCGCCGGTAAAATAGTTGCATCTTTTTTTCGTTTTTGATTTCGTAGTTCAAATTTCAGACATAGCATGCATTAAGCTAACTTAAATAAACAGTATATTAGAGTGAGAAAAACGGACAATAGAGTCACTACCAGACTCAAGAGCTAGCCTATAGGCCAAAATACCGTCACAAAAATACGGTCCGCCTGCGAAGATAGTTTTCGCAGGCGGCATCTTATATGGTTCACCTGCAAAAAACAATCTTCGCAGATGGACGGCTAGCATGGCCCCGATTGCTAATATCGTAGGCGGCCGTTTTGTCTCTGAGGGCGATGCCCGCCTGGGAAAAAAACACATATCGCCATGTCGGAAAATCGATTTTTTAGTAGTGTGTATAAATAGACTGTGGAACCGACCAGAAGTATCATGACCCACAGGCTTTGTCTCTAAAACCAGTAATGAGTTTGGAGAAAATTTCAAATTAAATAAGTAATAAAATGTCGCAATCACGATGTTTTTCACTTGTGTGTAAGATTGTAAGTTGAAGATAACATGCACACCAATGAAAATTCAAAATTGCGACCTTGTAGAAAAACCCAAATATGTTAATTAGTTGTACCAGGTCTCTTAAGTTCTTTTTTGTCATTGAAGAGTTATAGCGATAGAATAGTATATTATAAGTATAAGGGACCATATATTATGGTATATATAATCCCATCTTAGGAATACATCTCTTGGACATCAATTCAGCAAAACCATTGAAACTTCTTTGCAAACCAGTGTTTCTAAAAAACTATATATAGCTGGAGTAGTATATTTCTCTTCAAAATATAAAACTAAAGGTGATTAGAATCAGTACAAATTTACAGATACGGCCTAGCCAAAAATACAATATGCCCTGCAGAACCCAACAAGTCCCCTCACACTTGTTAATTAATTAGTAGTAATTTAGTACTAGTATATCAGTACACCATAGAAAATTAAACTGCATATATACAACCGCGTTGGCAGATGGTGACAGCCAAACTGGAATAAATCGCGTGTGTAACCACCGTAAAGTCAAAGAAAATTTGCAACGTGAGCGAGGTAGTAGCAAGCGCATCGTTGCAGGCGTCGAAACAAAACTTCATTTATAAAAAAAGTTCATGTTGACAGTACATACATGTCTCCCATAAAGGATGCACATAAATGAATATCATCATGTACTAATTAAGGAACCTAACTAAATTCTAAACTGTTATGTTAGGGCATTCCCAACCCAATAACTAGGATGATGTCCATAGCATTAAATAAGTTGTCACATAGGATAAAAAATGATGTGGCAAGTGAATAAATGAGGAAAGAGAAGGAAACCATGTCTTGTATGAGACATGGTTTCTACCCAACATCCAAGATATCATGTGAGATAAGTAGCATTAAATTGAAGTATGGAATAGTGGTGTTTGCATTGGAAGAGTAGTGTCTAGTACTAGTTTCTTGATGATGTGGTGTTTATGGAAACTATATCTAGTGTTATGGGTTGGGACTGCCCTTATACTCCCTCCGTCCCATTCTAAGTGCAGCCATGATTTTCATGCTCAACTTTGATCGTTTGTTTTAATTGAAAAATTTTTGAAAAAATTTAAAAACATAAGTCACGAGTAAAGTATTAATCTCTCCGTAAGGAGTTTTAGGGTTGGACACGGTTATTAAGAAAATAGGTAAAAGTAAGTGGTGGATGGTTGTGATTGGATAATTAGTGGAACTAGTTGGAAAAAGTGAATGTTAAGGGTTGTGATTGATTGGAAGATAATGTTGGTGGAGAAATTATTATATTTTAGGACAAATCCTAAGGCTAAAAGTTGTTATATTTTAGGACGGAGGAAGTATTCATGTTTTATCATCTCATAACAACAAACATACTAATTATAAAAAAAATTTAAATTAGACGGACGATCAAAGTTGAGCGCGGAAACTCATGGTTGCACTTAAAATGAAACGGAGAGAGTATTATGCTACTATGTAGTTAATTCAGAATTTATTTTGGTTTGGTAAATTAAGGGATCATATATAGAGAGAAACTTCACAGTACTCAAGAAAATATGCAAAAACCTTAGTATCTCGATGTACAATATGTTAAAGTATCAAATTTTACACTAAAGAACATGATACTCCCTCTGTCTCAGAATATAAGAAGTTTTAGTGTTGGACACGGTTCTTAAGAAAGTAGGTAGAAGTGAGTGGTAGAGGTTTGTGATTGAATGAGTAGTGGAGGTAGATGAGAAAAGTGAACGGTGGAGGGTTATGATTGGTTGGGAAGAAAATGTTAGTGAAAAAATTGTTATATTTTGGCACAAATTCTGAAGACTAAAAATTGTTATATCTTGGGACGGAGAGAGTACCATCTTAAAAATTACCTCTTACATCCCGTTACATCTTTTCTAGCTACTAACTCGATCGACATATATTTTGATTAATAACTTATTTGTGGGTGTAACTTATGCGAAAGGTATGTGCATGGGCTGTGTTAATTTGTGTATGCAGCCGAAGACCTTATCAAGAACGCACAGGTGCAGGCCATCATCGTCACCACGGAGGCGGATACGGCCGTGGTTGCCCGCCTTCGCCGCCACCACCGCGTCCCCATCCTCACCTTCCCCATCTCCGGCGGTGCTCCTCCGCCGTCATCACATCATCCACCCCACCATGCAACGGCGACGGCGCCGCCGTTCGGCGCCGATCACACTTCAGCCAGGGCGGCGCTCACCGGCATCCTCACCGCCATATTCTCATCAGCACGGCGCGCCGCCGGCTCGCCGCCCCATGGCCGCCGCTACAACGCCGGCGCTCCGACTGGTCGTCGTCTCGACCGCCGGCGATTGGCGGGGAGAAGGTCATCATCAGGCGAGGTGCTGCGGATCGCCGTGCCGCGGAAGACCGGGTTCCAGGCTTTCGTCGACGTGAGAATCGACCCGGACACCAAGAGGCAGAACATCACCGGATACTGCATCGACGTCTTCAACGCCGCCATGGCTAGAGTGCGGCCTCGCCGGAAGTACGAGTTCCACGTCTTTGACGGATCGTATGATGATCTTGTACGCAATGTATCTTCAGGGGTAAGCCTTAATTACTCCCACGAACTTGTTTATTTTTAGTTGAATTTTTTAGTCCTTAAGAAATTAACTTGAGATACCTAAATTTTACACGAGGGGCCTCATCTTTTCACTTATGCTTATGTTTATCAGCTAAAATTTGAAATCTCAACCTTAAATTTGCAACTGATTTTAGGGTTTTTTCATTGAAGTTTATTTTTCAGCCTTTGTTTTTATATTGTTAAAAACACATATAAAAAGTTTTATTCACAAATTAATTTTCGTTTACAAATATGCCGGGGCTGTAAAATTTTTGGTACTACATGTAAAAAATATGATAGCTCTCCAGGGTACCTTATTAAAAATTATAAAATTATGTTATCTATACTCCCTCCATTTTAAGTTATTTGTTCATTCTAGTTTTGTAGTCCTAAGTCAAACTTTGGTCTTTGACTATCAATATTTCTAAAAATCTAAAATCTAATATAGTTAACACAATAAGGTTTATGTTTCCAGATTTAACTTGAATAATACTTTCATAATATATAATTCACATGTGTGGTAAATTATTACGATTTTACAGAAATCAGTTGATGTTCAAAGATAAACATATTTGGAATTAAGACAAAACTAAAACAATAATTAATTTAAAATTGAGATAGTAGTAAAAACAATAGTTTTATGTTTCTAAAACATTTATTTTTTCCTAACAAGGCTGATTATATTAAATATAAGAAAACTAAAACAAATCAAAGGCATAAGCTTAACCAATTTACCAGGAAAAGAGCACTTTATATTTTTCACTTTTATATGGGAGATATTAGATTTAACCGCATTATATATCATTTGTAATTGAGGAATTTTACCGAAAATTTTATAGAAAATAATTAGTAAAGTCCGTATGTTCCTTGGGAAATCTAATTAAGAAGTATCATATAATATCGCAGCCTCAACATAAGAGCATACAAATTGTAAAACAAATCAGTTTAAAACTAGAGTTTGTAAAGTCAAATTATAATGAATTGAAATTGTATATTTTTTTATAAAATACAAACAAAATGACTCATTCAATTGCTATAAATATATTCGCATATTTAGGTATAAAGATTTCTGGAACTAGAAATAGCTAGCTTTAAAAAAATATATATATGTGCCAATTGTCAAACAGGGACTAATAATTTACGCCAAGTCCCTTTGAATGACATTTCTAAGAATTCTCGCTGACATACATCTTCTGTCTTATGGTATCTTCAGAAGTTCAGCGCAGCAGTGGGCGACGTGACCATCACAGCCGACCGAGAAAACCTCGTGGAATTCACGATGCCATACACGTCGTCCGGTGTGTCGCTGCTGGTGCCGGAGGAGAACGACTCCAAGCCAATCCAATGGATTTTCGTGAAGCCACTGACCAGGGATCTCTGGCTTGCCACCATCGGCTTCTTCTTCTACACCGGCTTCGTCGTGTGGATGATTGAGCAGCCAAGAAACCCGGAGTACCAAGGATCAAGTGTGAGGCAGCTCAGCACTGCTTCCTACTTTGCTTTCTCCACCCTGACGTTTTCTCATGGTAATATAGTTACTACTTTTACTCCTCCAGTTCCTAAATATTTGACGCCGGTAGTATTCATGTTTTATTTGGATCGCTGGTCTTGTCTTAATAAATACTTGAAAACGAGTTATATTATCGGACTGTGTTGCATCGTAAATATAACCATATAACTTTTCATTCATTACAATATGATCATTTAAAAATAATTTATGGTCAAGGTGAGACAGTTGTATAGTCAATAGTGCTAGTTATTCATGAATGGAGAGAGTACTGCTTTAAGAGTTGTACATTTTTTCCAAACATAAATAAAGCACATAGTTATTATAACGAGATCTTTTTTTACTTTGAAAAAGATAACGAGACGTATGACATTTATAGTGTAAATTTTGGTCTCCTTTAGGTATATTTTTAGTATTTTAGTATAAAAGGGTATGGTTATTTCATACTGGAAATTGTGGTACCTCACCAAAGATCATAAAATTGCTCCTTTGTAATTGCATCATTAGAGGTTTACTTGGTTTCTTTCAATGTTCAAACAGGTCAAATTATCAAGAGCCCTTTGTCAAAAATTGTTGTGGTGATATGGTGCTTTGTAGTGCTGATCCTAGTGCAGAGCTACACGGCAAGCTTGTCATCCATGCTAACTGCAAAGAGGCTCCGACCATCGGTGAAAAGCTTGGATCAGCTCCTCCTTACCGGTGACTATGTTGGATATCAAAATGGATCATTTGTTGGCTCACTCCTGAAAAAACGAGGGTTCATGCCATCCAGGTTAAGGTCTTATGGAACACAAAAGGAGTATGCTGAAGCTCTGAGAAAGGGGTCCATGAATGGAGGAGTGTCGGCGATCGTCGACGAGATCCCTTATTTAACTTCTTTTTTATCCAACCCCCAATATCAGAAAGAATTTCAGATGGTTAATCGATTCTACAAGACCCCCGGATTTGGTTTTGTAAGCTTCTCAATCTTGTTCACTTTGGTAGATTCAGAATTCTTCAATTTTCTTTTCTTTTTGACAATTAGTATATCGCGCAAAGTTTTTGCGTGTTCTCGAAAAACATTCAGATGTGTGGTGCTTACATGGAGAAATTCAATATGTTCTTTTTTGTCTAATTAGTTTGCATCATGTTTTTGTATTCAGGTATTTCCTCTAGGTTCTCCACTGGTGCATGATCTCTCTACAGCTATCTTGAACCTTACAGGAGAGACTGAAGGTTCAAAAATTGAAGAGAAGTGGTTTGGCTCATCTGAACAGTCCACAGGAGGTGATGCAAACCCTAGCAGCAGCAGCAGCAGTGACTCAAACCCTCTCACACTCCAAAGTTTCTCTGGCCTCTTCATCATCAGTGGCTGCATCTCTGCTCTGATGCTCCTGATAAGCGTTGCGAATAGGGTAATTTGCGCCAAATGCGCAAAGGAAGCTCGTGTTCATGATGTGGAGCATGGAGGCAGTACTAGTAGCAGTGCCACTGAACAATCAAGACCACTTCAGATTGTTATTGACAGCAACCCTGAACCTGATCAAGCTGTCCAAGAAGATGGAAATGATGGGTTTCAGGGTGCCCAACCGATGCAGGGTAGTGTTGGCGATGAAAGGCCTAACCCAGTGCAGAATTGCAGACACAATGGCACTGTGCCTGAACATGATGCTCAGATGGAGATGAACACTGGATGATATGTCAGCGTGGTTATGTACAGTACCCCTATGAAATTGCAAAAAAAACAGATGGCATTTGGGCTTTGTTTTGGACGCGGGAATTTTTTCCTGATTTTGCATGGTCTGAATAGTTGTATCTATCTGAATGTTTTTGCAATCCAAATTAGGGCCTTAATTTGGTTGGATATAGTTATGTAGGAGTAGATATTTTAGTGGGTTTATTCATCATCTAAAGTTGTTCTGTTTTGACGGTTTTATTGCGTCGATGTAAATATGTAAAATATTGTGTAAATTACCAGTTAGTGAGATAAAAACATGAACCGATGATGAACTTTGTAACTTGTCAGATGAGATTCCCCAATGCAGATACAGGCTGTGATAAGTTGAAGCAATGCTAACTTTTCTTGTTGATCATTTGAATCAGGGGATCAGTACGTGTATCCACTCTTTTCTGCTTGCAAGAAAGTCAGATTAATTCGCTTGGAAGATATACTGATTGTAGACCTGAACATTGACAGCTCTAAATAGCGAAATGTGCAGAACCCTGAATTCTTCGAGGGAAGGAGTTTTCAAACCCAAAATCAACCTTCATGCGTAATTATCTAGACGCATCGGAGTAGGTAGCAAGAGAGAAATTTCTCAGCAGTTAGGATGTACTATCTCGTTCATAAAAGTTACTAATGAATTTTGAAATTAACTTGGTTAGCAGTTATAACTGCTAGACTCTTTTTTTTAATCCAAACCTATATACTTTGAAAATAACCAGCATATATTTTGCTAGAAACCAATGTATTTAACATGTTATTAAAATTTTGATGTTTGTACTGTCAACAGTTCTTAAGTAAATTTGGTTGGCCTTTCTTGGCCGGCCCGGCAATACTGTCAACAGTAACTAATAACCGGTGTAACCCACGGATTTAGCAACCGGTAGTACTAATCACCTCACAAGGTATATATTTTTGATATATGGTGCCCATGATATGTTTTGATGCATTTATATAAAAGAAATTTCCCCGCGAAATTACGAATGCATGCACAAAGGTATTGTAATTAGCTTAGCTACTTGCAGGCTAGCCTGTCGTCAACGACGATCGATCGATCTTGAATATAAACCAGGTCACTGTTTTTGGTTCATTAATTTGCTTATTATTCTGCTATAACCACTTGGATGAAGACGCGCTTAATTAGTATACACACACATATCGTACTACAGGCTATTACTTAGACGGAAACAAATCGCTCGACGACGCACACGTATTCACAGACCGGGTGAATGCATGGAAAGCGTCAACCTCTCGTCTGCAGGGAGATCGATCGATCGATCGATCGACGAACGTGTACACATGCCTATACTATATATATACGTATGCTGTCTTTAACTCCTTAAACCTATTGAGAGAAATTAGTACTATACGTTTAGAGGAAGCTTAATTAATTATTACTAGTATATGATGATGGTTCTTACACATATCATCAGCCGGTTTACTGCTCTTGCTCATTGTTGTTTACTGCTCGTTTTGCTGCTCGCGTCGTCGTCGTCGTGTGGGAACGCGGCGCCGGTGATGGTGGGCGTGGTGGTACACCTGCGGACCGAGGCGGGGAGGAGGAGCCGCACCTGCATCGAGATGGCGTTGGAGGAGTTGTACCACAAGCATCCGATCATGAGCTCTACCACACTGCACGTTTGGGAGTACTCCCGTGGAGAACTTACCGAGGCAGCACATAATGCTGGTAATTATAAACCCTCTCCTATCCCTTCTACGGAACATATCATAAGAAGAGAATCCCTTATATACCACTGAAAATTAGGCTGATCCTTTATATGTCATTGAAAATTGGCTCTTTAATTCCCTTATATGTCATTGGTCCAAATTTACACACCCTCTCATGCCACTCCCGTCTGCTGACCGTGTGTTGACCGTTAACTCTCAGGTGAAAAAGACATATTTGTCCTTCTGAGTATAGGACAACTCAGAAGGGCAAATACATCTTTTTTACCTGAGAGTTAACGGTCAACAGACGGGAGTGACATGGGAGGGTGCACAAATTTGGACCAATGCCATATAGGGAAATAGCCAATTTTCAGTGACATATAAAGGATCAAACCAATTTTCAGTGACATATAAGGGATTCTCTCTATCATAAGTTATATGATATATACCTTATGTATCATGCTAACGTTAATATAGTAGGTACGCACCTATATGCATGATATCCCATAACAAGTTTGCTATTCCCTCCATTTCATATTAATATAAGTCGTTTTTTAATATAATGAAACTCTTTTAAGTCAAAATTTTTAAAAGCTAGTTTAATCAACTTTATAAAAAAATAATAGCAACACTTATAGCACTAAATTAGTTTCATTATATTTAACACTAAACATATTTTGATATTTTTTTAAAATATTGTTGTATTTTTTTTATAAATTTAGTTAAACCTAATAAAGTGTCACTAAGAAAGAGCCTGTGTTCTTCAACTTTCTCTACCTATCTGATCTCACTATCTAAAAAACATATGTCTAGCTAGTGTGCTAGTATATATCTACCTTTCTTCTATTATATTTATAGTCGTATATCCATTTATCCAACTATATTAGTACTTCTTTTGTTTTGTTTCACATTATAAGTCGTTTTGATTTTTTTCCCTATTCAAACTTCTTAAGTTTCACTATATTTATAGAAAAAAAATTAACAATATCTATACAACATTAAATTAGTTTCATTAAAACTAATATTTAACATATTTCAATAACATGTTTATTTTATGTTAAAAATATTGCTATATTTTTTTTGGCAAAATTGGTTCTATAGCATCGAAAGATTGCGATTTTGGTTTTATAGCATCAGAAATCACCGATTCACTTTATTAGCACCGAAAGTTCGCTCCATTAGTGCATATAGCATTTCTGTCATACTTGAGGCTAACTTCTGTTAAACTGACGACGACGGTGCCCCTTCGTCTCGGGTGTCTCGGTCAGGCTGAGACAAATCAGTTCATGCCCCCTTCATCTTCTCCACAGAAATCACAAGCCATGATGCCTCTCATTCTAAATTTCTATCCCAAGCGGCAACAAGATGCGCAGCTTCAGGCCCCCTCGACTGCTGCTTGCTGAGCAGGGAGCATATCAGGAGTTCAGGACTAGAGAAATACTAGTACTAGTTACTCTTACGATCTACACATGCACATAAAAAAAATTGATTCAATTGGGTTGTGATCGGAGTCAATCTAGCCAGAGGTCTTCTTGTTGTTGTCGTTGGCCCAGATGACCAGACCACATACACATCATTCGAGCGTGTCTGTTCTATACCACTGCCGCCGGCGGATTGCTCGATGACAGATTTAAGGGGACGGCGATATTCCAGGCAGCTACACGGGAAATTTAAGGTGTGATAATGTGATTGGTGGCTGTTAGGGGCGGGACCGTGTGGAATAGCTCAAGGAGTCGACGGCGGCGTTGGCTGCTCCAGCACGAGGGCATGGCAGCGACGGCGGGGCCGCCGGCGGTCGAGTGGAAGATTGACGGAAGCAGACAGGCATCCCTGTGCAGTAACGGAAGCCCGATGGAAATGCTATATACACTAACGGAGCAAACTTTTAGTGCTCCCAAAGTGAACTTGTGACTTTCAATGCTATAAAACCAAAATCGCAATCTTTCGATGCTATAGAACCAATTTTCCCTTTTTTTTATAACACGATCAAACTAACTTTAAAAAGTTGAAAAAAAAATCAAAACGACTAATATGAAAGAGGGAGTAATTTTGATTCTTGAAATTATTAATAAAATAAAATGGTTTTGTCCTTAATACTTCAAACAAATGTATGTGCAAATTATATAATAAAAAAAGATGAGTTATGAATTAGTTTTAACACGGCGAAACACCACAAATATGGCGGTGGAATCGTTCGTTCTTGACTTCACCTACCAAGATTTGCCCGAAAGTTAGAAATTCTCATATTAATTGAGAAAATTACAATAAAATGTAAGTCGTCAAATCATGGTAAGACGAAATTATAACTAAGTATTGATAGCAATGCCATATACAAAGTACAGTTGTATATCTCTACTCTCTTCTTAAATTCGGACTCGTCCTCCTTTCATCCTCTCGTTGTAACACGCAACGTGTTCAAACGTGAAATATAATCACTTTTCCTCCTTGTAATTCACATGCATTGGTATCGTTTCAAAATCCATGAATTTTTGGAGCCATTAAAGTATACCCCTGGTCTTAAAAAAGACAATTGATTTGGTATCATCTACGACATACGACATATTTGGGCTATGTTTAGTTCAACGCGAAGTTTGGATTTTGGTTGAAATTGGAGATGATGTGACTGAAAAGTTGTGAGTGTATGACAGATTGATGTGATGGAAAAGGACTGAAGTTCAGCCTTGGATATAAGTTTATCTAGGAAGTATCAAATCCCATCTAGATTATTTTTTTTTAGGGAGTACTAGACTCTTAAAATCTGAATAAGGAAGGATCTAGCTTATCCAAAAAGGCCGGAAATTTTAGGAGAAAGACAAGGCAGCCCATATTTTTAGGGCGGAGGTAGAGTAACATGTCGATCTCGTCGCTCATCGCACCAGGTGTAGCCGCCGCCAAAATCCCCCCTCTCCCCTTCGCGACCCAGGCCGCAGGCCCCTCGCGCCGTCGCGCGGCTCGCCGCCGCCCTTGGGGCAGCAGCCCGCCTCCTCTACTCATGGGTCACGTACGCCCTCCCTCCCCGTCCTCCTCCCCCGGGCCCCGGTGCTGCACTGGTCGGCATCGTCCTCCGCCGCCCCCAAATCGCTCTCACCGCCAACGGTGAGTGCCGTCATGGGCCACCTTTTTCTTCTGCTTTTTTTTTTCATAAGATTACACAGCACCCCGCGAATACGTCCGCTAAAATATGGGCTAAGAGACGAAAACCAACGGCACATTCATAATATCACTGAAATCCTGTTGAATGTTTACCTACATGTGTCTAATATTTATGGGCACCAGAATTTGAACCCTGGTGGGTGGAGTCATGCAAGTCATGCACCCACGACTCCACCACCACACCCTTGGTGCTTCCTGGATCCAGTGGTGAAGCCACCGGGGGTGCCGGGGTGGGCCTGGCACCCCTCATCCCTATGCGTTGCATGCAAACCCCGCGTGATTAGCCATCTAATCCATACAATTAGTTCATTAATCAGTTGCAAGTTGAGCCTATATCTAGGTGTCTAATAGGTTTTATCTTTAAGTAATTACTTGAGTTAATTAACATAACGCGATGTGGTTGCAAGTCTCCAAAACTAAAAAGCATGAATATAAATGATGTTGTGTCATTCTAAGTATTGAGTAAAGTTGGTGCTATTTAGTGACCTAGTTTAAAAATGGTTCTTTTTATTCTATATTAAGGTACATTCGGACTCAGACATACACCCACCATTCTAAAATAAGTTCACTTTTATATATGAATCTAGAAGAATGTGTTGAAATAAATCCAAAATCATATCAACAATCATTTTATGTATATATTAGTGCAAATGACAAATAGCCACAAAATTCAAAATATAATTATACGAGGGGCGACTATGTATTTTAGAGCGAACAAAAGGCGACTAGGTGAGGCCAATCTGCCACTCTGCAGGATTTGAGCCACCAAGATTCACACCATTGCCTACCGAGGCGCCGGTGAGTTCTTAAGGCTTGTGCCAGCACCCCCTATCTCTAAATCCTGGCTTAGCCCCTGCCTGGATCACCCTTTTCTTCTTTCGTGAATGATTAATTTTTTTGTTGATGCGCTATACAAATCGGCTCTGCCCAGCTCGCTGAGGGCTTTCTCGCATTCTCTGGATGGCCCTCAATTCCGGCCTGGAGTTTGTTTCCATTCCTATGAGCATTCCAAACACGATGGTTTTGTCACTTCAGTTCCTGCCAAAATCACAACTCGATCCTGTTCCAACTGGACCAAATCAGTTTGTCAATTCCGCATTAATCAAGTCAGCGGTATTTCCTTCAAGATCTTTTACTACTACTACTTAGTATTAAGTGGTAGTGTTATATCATAGTAGTGTTAATTATAAGACAAACATCTCTATAGTGAGTTATATACCTAATGTCTTACAGGTATTTCTGGAGGATCTGAAAAGAAAAAAAAACTAATTTCTACATGCGCTCTTTGTCGAAAGTAGGAAAATTTCAATGTTTTCTGCTACAGATATACCTATTGATGAAGCTTTACATAAATTGTGATGGACAGATCCTATGGGCTGTGCAGCTAAATACCTGACGAAGAATGATATGGCATTCGTCATTAGCAGGGAACCTCAGAGGTTAAATAAAGAAGTCAATTTTGCTGCTTTCCTGGATAATCCGAACATCGATGATGTGCACAACCAAAGTATTCTGCTCTGGTCATACAATGTAATACCAGCCACTGCCACATCAACTGAGATATGCAGGCTCTTCAGCTCAGTGGTCCAGACAATAGAGAGAGAATTGGGTCAGGGTGGTGTGCTTGTAGCCAGAAGAACACATGCCGACTCAGCGGACACCATATCATTTTATCAGCTTGCTGAGAAGCTCAAGCTATCATCGTACGAGATTGTAACCATCACTGGTGAAGGTGCGAGGGGAGTATGTTCTAGGACATCATATTCTGGGCTCCCCCAAAATCGAAGCACCAGCAACTATAGCTTTGACATTAGCAGCAATGGCAATGGAGCTGTAACAGAGGATTCTCAATCAGCTTCTGTAGGCCACAATAGGGTTGGATTAGCAGTAACACATGGCACTAAAACACCCCTTAATCCAAAAACTCAGAGAAGAAATGCTATTGAATCAAAGGACAAATGCTCAAAAAGTAGTTGTGGAAGTGGGAGTGAGAAATCTAACGAGACACTCAGGATTGCTGTGACACGAAAATATGGTTTTCAAAATTTTCTGAACATTACTGATCTTCCTAATGGCAAGATAAATGCCACTGGTTTTAGCATCGAAGTATTTGAGAACGCTATGAAGAAGTTAGATCATCCTCCATGCTATATGTTCTGTCTCTTTGAGGGTTCATATGATGATCTAGTAGGCAGCGTCTCTTCTGGGGTGAGCCTTACTCCTACCTGCTTTCTTGGCATTTTGCAAGGCTTGAATTATAACCTTTTAATTTCCTGTCATTCTCTCACTGAATCGTTCTTCTGATTTTCAGAAGTTTAATGCTACAGTGGGTGATGTCAGCATAACTGCCGAACGAGAAAGACATGTAGATTTCACAATGCCATACACACAATCTGGTTTGTCTATTCTTGTGCTCGCTGAGAAATACTCCAAACCGAGAATTCAATGGATATTTATAAAGCCGCTGACATGGCAGCTGTGGTTGGCTGCTGTGAGTAGTTTCTTATACATTGCATTTGTCGTGTGGATGATTGAACGACCCAGAAACCAGGAGTACCAAGGATCAAGCTCGAGGCAGATCAGCACTTCTCTCTACTTTGCTTTCTCCACAATGACATTTTCTCATGGTTATAACTCACATCTCAAACATGCAGATTTATTTATTATTCTATAATATTACTTCTGAAATAACCTACTTTCTTGGTTACATTATGCACAGGTCAAATTATTAGAAGCCCTATGTCAAAAATTGTTGTGGTAATATGGTGCTTTGCAGTGGTGATACTAGTGCAGAGTTACACGGCTAGTTTGTCATCCATGCTAACCACATCGAGGCTCCGCCCCTCAGTGGTTGATCTCGACCAGCTCCGTCACAATAATGACTATGTTGGGTATCAAAATAAATCATTTGTGTACTCCTTGTTAAATCAAACGTTCAAAGAAGACAGGTTAAAGCCTTATGCAAATGGAAAAGAATATGCAGAAGCTTTGAGAAGGGGGAAAGTATCTGCTATTGTTGATGAAATCCCCTATATAAGATCTTTTATGTCTGACCAGAATAATTCTAACGAGTTCTGGGTGTTTCCTCAGACATACAATATCCTTGGATTTGCTTTTGTAAGACTATCACTTTAATGAGTTCGTACATTTACACCTCATCCTTCAAAGAGCTATACTATGATACATTCTGGGGT